CACTTGACCCATCTTCAAGAGCTGGGTTTGTATAAGTTGAGTTCTCGACTGATGGAAAAGGTCGAGAATCAGGAGGAAGACAGTGAAGATTACAGAAGAATGGCACACATTCCTGAAATTGTCATTGGTTTTTATACAGATGATGGTGGATGGAGTATCCGCCGGCTATGGGGGAAGCAGAAGGAAACAATTCTTGCCTAGCACTAGCAGCATCCCGTGGCTTTCCTTTCTCTTCTTCTTCTATTTTTCTGAGAAGTTTCTGAAGTTTTCTATCTTCTCCATTGCGTGTAGTATGGTGCATTGCATCATCATCTTGTTCATATCCTGCATTTTGTTAATGTATTTTGTTAACTGTTTTTCTTTAATTTTAACTTCAGCAAATGAAGCATTCTTACCTACCTCCCCAAATGAATCAATTTGTCCATAAGTCTATATAAAGATTGCAATGCATATAGCATAGTGCCAAATTTGAGAATGACGATCTTCTTTTCACTCTTCAATTTTAGATAACAAAAGGGTCTTATCCCAATCTGTTAAGCAATATGCTTCCACGTACGTACGTATAGCTGTAAATTACAATTCGATTATATTACTTCATCCACACCCATCCATTTATAAGTGAATTTGCATGCGCAATGAATTTTAAATAGGTTTATAGGTTTAGATGGGTGAGTCGATCAAACAATAAAGTCCAATTCATGGCATATACATCAAACATAATCATATTTCAGAACAGAACAGACACTATTTTTAAACAGAGCAGAAGAAAAGAGCGGACTAAAGATCAGATAGACAAGGGTGGAGTAGATCAGATATGAGTAGTAAACAATTCATAAACATAATGGTTTAAAGATATCAAAACATAAATGCAGTTAGTTCAACAGTATTTTGACTTCACCTCAACATGACAAAGAAACATCGCACATAAATGAATATGTCCTCTATTCTCTAACTTCTTCTTACAGGAAGTTTTTCTATCAAAAAATCTATACATTTTTTCTGAGCATATTCCCCAATCACCTTTTTATTTTATATATATCAAATCGTTACAATATATTTTTTTTTTACAAAAACTGCATATATTTTCTTTTCATATGATTATGTTGGATGTATATGCCATCAATTGCACTCATTTAGTTCCCGTCACAAGCAAAACTGGTAACATCTAAATTAACCAAATTTTATTTCTATGAATATGTGGACTATAGATAAAATAATAATGCACGGCAAGTGCCTTAATCCTTGCTATTTTATTTGTCAAATCATCATTTATTTCCCCTAGACTCATAAAGTCCAATATTAAACCGATGACTTATATATTGCTGGAATCGCACATAATATTTTGTGAATGATACTCCTTAGTAGGGCTGCAAACGAGTCGAGTCGAGTCGAGTCGAGTTTTGCTCTAATCGAGTCGAGCCTTGATTTAATTTTGTCGAACTTGAACTCGAGCTCGATAAGCTGACAATTTTGAAGCTCGAGCTCGAAAAAATAAAAATAATTATTTTATTTTTAAAAAAATAAATAAAATAATATTTTTTCTTAATAAATAATAAAATATTAAGGATATTTATGTAATTTTACTATTAAAATAAAAAAATAAAAATATATATATACTTGAGCTTGCGAGCCGGCTCAATATTTTGAATTCGAGTTCGAGTTTGACTTTGACTCGACTAGCTCGAGCTCGAGTCGAGCTTGAATGAGCTGCTCGTGAGTTTCAGTTGCACCCCTACTCCTTAGTGATTTGTGCAATGATATCTAATTCGGGTTGGTTATCACGAAACCGATAGCCAATATGAGTATGTAATTCTCCCGTAGGAACTTCACCAACAAATTTTCTTAACCCTTCAAAAAAAAAAACCATTTTCACCAATAATAATAATAATAACAACAACAACAATAATAATGTTTGGTTATTAGATAATGTTCTAATTTAGTGAGAGAAAAATCCAGAATAAATTCTATCCTAATGTGTGGTTGTTGAAGACTAGTAAGTAGTAATCAAATGCTTAGTGGCCCTAGGTGAAATCATTAAAGTGCTTAACACGGCAAAACCTGTGTTCATCATCATCATTGCAAATTGTTCCTATTTTCATCAGACTGAAAACACATAATATTGTAGAGATAGTTGCCTCGGCAAAATCTTGAGTACATAAGCAGGAATAATTAGAGTAAAACTTTCCACTCTAAGTAACTAGACTTTTTCCTTAATCTCCTATCGAAGTTACAATGATTTGCCAATTTTTTAGGAGCATAAAAATATGATTTAAGAAGCTCGTTAACTTCTAGCTGCGTATATGAGAAAAAAATAATAAACAAATAAAGGGCGACTTACAGGCTACAGCAGATGCAGCTCACCAAAGAGTTGAAGGCCAAAATGCAAATCCATCCATCATACTACATGAATAACTTGCCACAGAATCATGATGTTTATTCCTCAATCCAAAAATGTGTAGCTTTCTAGATGCATTTTTCCATACCAGATAGAGAAAAATAAAAGATGCATGAGATTTTCCTTGGTTTATTATACGTGGAAATAACATTGAAAATCTAACGGCAAATTCCACGTTACCCTCCCGTGATTTAGTATTTTTTACATAACTCTCATATAATTTCAAAACCTATATATAACTCCTTTATGATTTGAATTAAAGTATCAAAGTGACGAAAATAATCATTCATAATGAAATCACCTAAAATGTAAAAAATACCCTTATGTAAAGTTAAAAATTATTTATTAATTAAGGGGGGTTATGTGTATATTCTTAAAACTATAAGGGAGTTATATGGTAAAGTATTAAATCATAAAGAGATTATATGTTAAAATATAAAAATCATACAGGGTTAGTATGTCATTTATTTATAAGCGTAATTTTGACATTTTCAGAAGTTCCGTTACGAATGACTATTTCCGTCACTTTGACACTTTAATCTAAACCATGAGAAATGTATGTATAACTTCTGAAGCCATACGGGGTTATATAAAAATCTAAACCACATGGGTAAAATGTAATTTGCCCAAAATCTAAATACTCTCTATATGATGATCCAATAGTTAAATATCCTTCTATTTCTGTCCTAAAATATTTTAGTAACAAAATTAAATGGCGTTCTCGTCATTTTGCCCTCAACGAAAGCTATCCTCTTTCTTGATTGCCTAGAGCCCCTGCACCCTTTCTCTCACTGGGAGTTCTAACTATAGTTCATTTTGTGAGCAACATTACTGATTCACCACCAATGGGTATTTTTTCATGGTTCAAGGGAACCAAAAACGATACCAACTCCAAACCCGCGACCCAAAAATCGGAACCGGTGAAAACCCAATCCGCTTCTGAAGTTCCAGGCATGAACGGAGCAGTGGAGGTCCGACGGCAAGGCCCACCACCAGCTGATATCACAGTTTTCGAATTCGGTTCCGTTGCCGCTTCTGCCGACAAGGTCACCCTCGCCGGCTTCTGCCCTGTTTCCGACGAGCTCGAACCTTGCCGCTGGGAGATTCTGCCGGCTAAAGGCTCCGACGCCCCTCAATTTCGCGTAGTCTTTTGACGGAAAAATAATTGGCGAAAAAGAAAGGGAGAATTTTCAGCTTAGCTTTTGAGGAAATGGTGAGGAGGATTAAATCCCAATCCTGAGTAGAGTTTCTTCAGTCTCATATGGGTTTTTATCTATGTTAAAAATACAAAAAAGCTTGTATCTTTTTTTCTCTTTCATTTTTGAAGTTTCTCTGTAATTTAGCTCTGTTTGACACTTTGATTAGAATATGATAAAGACCTTTACTGCACTTGTTTTTCCTTTTTTTTGGTTGGGTCCAAATTTGGGTACTATTGGCTTGAAAACATGAGGAGGAAGAGGAAAGAAGTTAATTTGTTGTGATAGATTGGTTATTGCGTTGTTGGATGATAGTTGCACATTTTCTCCTGTTTCCTGCAATTTGCTGTAGAATTATCATGGAAAAGGGAGCCCTTGAAGCCCTAATCAATGAAGGGTTCAGGTTTTTAGGCCAAATGTGAAAGGCATTTGGACTGACGTTTGTACAAAATGTACTAGTATGTGTACACGAAAATACATTTCACGCATGAAGGCCTTCTATAGATAGCCGACCATTGTGCTTTCTTTGTCAAATAAGGTTCCAAGCATGCCCTGTTCTTGAAATTTTCCCTGTTATTAACTGGACTTGACAGAGTGGAGAAGCTGTAGATTTGTTGGAGTCCTTTTATCTTGTTTTACAATGTAAGAACTTGGCTTTTCTTTGCTTAAGAGTGTTTCAAGGAAGGATGAGGTGGTGTGAGGGCTTTTATAGACTCTCTGTCTAGTAGTTTAGATCTGCTCTGTGTTTGTGTCTGTGATTGCGCTGGCAGGGTTGCGAGGGGGATGGAGGATGGGGAGTGTATGTGTTCGTGTATTGTGTATGTAAGTATATAACTATGTCTGTCAATAAGGATGAGCTTATATGAATTGGTGTACCATGTAGAGCATATGTCAAGTCATGTTGAAATATATGTGGGCAGAGAAAGCTTTGAGCCTAAACTCTTCATGCTTTTTAAGTTGCTTTTACATTTGCTTGGTTTGTTTGTCAAAAAAAATTGAAGCAATTGCATTCATTTTTTACATTTGATTCTATGATTTGGATTCTATATTTTGAGGGAAGGGAGACTTTAGAAGCTTTTGGTTGATGTTAGTACCAAGTAGAAGTTTTCAAGGACTGATTTGAAAAGTAGAATGGATGAAAACACTACATGTTTGCCAGCTATTAAGAAAAAAAAAAAAAAAGGCATATAGGGTGTGTAGTTGCCTGTTTCTTTGGAAAATTCAGCTATGGAACAACACATAGAGGGCGTGGTAATTACAACATTAAGTTTTCAGATTTTATTTGGTTTGTCAATGATGTTTTGCCCCCTTCTTCTTCTTCTTCTTTCTTTGGCAAAGTTATGATTGCAAGTGTTTATTGGATTGCTTAATGACGAATGAACCATTGTTATCACAGAAAAGGAATATAAGGTCAATATTGCTAGGTTTCACCATATGGTGGAATGTGATGAAAAGTATGTACTTTCCGCCATAATGAGGATCTTTTTGTATAAAGATTAAGTATAAAGAGGACACAGTTCAATCCTTATTTGTTAAAGGTTGATGGATCTTTTTGCTTGTAATGTTTTTGGTGGAACCAAAACATTGAAAGTTTTCCATGCTTTGTCTTGGCTCCCAATGAACGCTGATCTGTTTGTAATACAACATTCTGGTCAACTTCTGTTCCATAGTTACAAATTGCCTGCCTTCAGGAGTATCTTTGATATTATGGCTTCTTCCTTCAGAAATTCTGCAACCTTGTACATTGACACTGACAGCAAGTGTGGTATCTGATGCGGTATATGACCTTAATGGCGAGATTGTTTAAACGGGTACCGGGGCGGGGTAGCCTCCTGCGGGCCACTCAGTTGCCATCCTTAGTCTTGAGTTGCTTTTTCTGTTCCACTCCGAAGAAATTCACTTTCCTCTGCATCAGAGTCTATTACTCTAGAAAGAAATCTATAAGACATTATATTCATGTCAGAATTTATTATTTTAAAAAGAGTTCTCTTTATTATCTTTTTTTTTCATTTTCTCACAAAAAAGCAGAAAATTCAACTCTACAATAAGAATAGGAATGAAAAGTATACTAGTTGGTAGACAACTCCAGTTCTAGTGAGTAATAATGAGATTGGCTTTTATGTTCAGATAGCTATACATATGTTATAATGTATCAGCAAAATCATCTTAAAATCTTGATCATTTTTTTCTTTTTCTCTATTAATTATTTATCCTTTAGTCTGGTGCTAGCTGTAGAAGGGAAAAAAAAAAGCCAATATCACGATGTTTAGTCAACCACCAAATTAGTGTCTTAACTTTCTTGTGAAACACAAATTCCACTAACTATTAACTTTGGAGGTTAGGTTTATGTTCTTCAAAAATCAACTCCATTATTCTCCATTCTATGGATCAAGAATCAAATTTTATCTTACCAAGGGACCAAAAAAAAAAAAAGAAACAAAGAAAGAAAAGGATTTTGTTTGTGATATACGGCCTCAAAAAGGGTGGAGAAAAAACAACGTACATTTCAACATCTTGAATGAAGGCCTCTTTTTTTTTTGGGTTGTTAAGGCGATTGTTTTCATTAGTCAAGGAAATAGATAATGCCAATGACTGACTTAGCACTAGCATGTGATGAGGCAGTGATAACAACGGACAAGATCAAGAAGTCTAGTTTATCTCTAACAGTAACAAGGATATGAAATTTGTGAAGCAAATTTTGCCAAGACTTGCATTAAGTAGCCACTAAACATTGAAGCAAAAACCTATGGGCTTACCGCTGATCCGCTGCCATCCTTAGTCTTGAGTTGCCTTTTCTGTTCCACTCCGAAGAAATTCACTTTCCTCTGCATCACATGTTCCTGGAAAACTCATAGCTGGCTTCCATTTGATTCGGAACTGTCAATTTTCTTTTGGGGTGGGGTTTTCTTCTCATTCTCTTGCGCTCTTTCCACTTTAACTACTCAAACACGCGTTTCATGTCTATACTGTAAATTTCGTCTACACTGCGTTGGACTGGTTTGTTCCTTGATATTCCATCCGTTTTTATTACAAATACTAGTTGGTCCAAAGGGTCAAAAGAAAAAAAAAGCAGAAATTAGTTCCATAGAAGGAGGAGTTTATATATGTCATAATGTCAGCAGAAGGGGCAAAACATTTTGCAGTAGTTTTATTTCTTCGTCAAAGAAATCAATAATGTCCAGTCCAGTCCAACCGCGTTTTAACCTTATTCCTTCTACTTGTAAAGAAGGACCACAGTTGAACGGTGCTCCTTTGTTATTATCCGACCAAAGGACCCACAGTTGAAAGAAGGAATGTGCAAACAGAAATGAGTCTTCTTAATAGCTTCCATGATTTTGTATTGTGGCAGGTAAGGCAGCTTCGTCTTTCACAATCAGATGTTTCTTGCTTTAGTTTCTTCTAATTGGTTAATTCTTTCTTTTTCTGTTTAACGCTGTTTTTCTTTTTGATAAATACTGCACCGAAGAACATCAGCTTATGAATCTGTATAACTTCCTCTTCCTTCTTCCTTTCAAGATATTACAACTGGACTGTCCTATCCTATAAATCAGAAGCCGCCTTCCCCGACATTCTTAGGTTAAAAAGGAAGACTGAAAATGGCAGCAACTGTTGTCTCTTTTGTTTCAAATCATCTCGCAACCTTACTCCGAGAGGAGGGAAGCCTATTGGGAGGGCTTCGACAGGAGGTCCAACTCATCAAGGATGAGTTGGGGCATATGAAAGCTTTCCTCAAAGTGGCTGAAGCAAAAGAAGATGATGATCCCAGGCTCCAAGAATGGATCAAGCAAGTGCGCGAAGCTGCTTATGACATTGAAGATGTTCTCGATGAATTTGTACTTCGCTTTGCTGGCTACCGACATCATGGATTCGGTGGCTCTCTTCAGAGAATTCTCAAAGCCATTAAGAGCTTGCGAGCTCGTCATCAGGTTGCCAGTGAAATTCAAAGCATAAAGTCCAGGATCAAAAATATTTCAGAAGGACGTCAGAGATACCAAGTTGAATTTGGCATCGACGACCGTGTCGCTGGATCGTCAACCATGACCAACTCATGGCGCTATAGCAGGGATGATGCACTTCTAGTGGAGGAAGCCAAATTGGTTGGCATTGACCAGCCCAAACAACATCTGATTTCTAAGCTCCTCGAGGGGCACGATCACCAACTCAAAGTTATTTCAGTGGTTGGTATGGCTGGACTAGGGAAAACTACCCTAGTCAAAAAGGTCCATGAAGATCCAGATGTTAGAAAGAATTTCCCAGTTCGTGCCTGGGTAACCGTCTCTCAAACATGCGACTTTCCGAAGCTCCTGAGAGACTTGATTTGGCAGTTGCACAAGGAATTGAACAAATCAGTCCCACAATTCATCGAATCTATATCTACCATTGAGTTGAAAGAATTTGTCAAAGATTTTCTTCAAGCAGCTGGAAGGTATGCAATTGTGTTCGATGACGTGTGGAACGTGGAATTTTGGAATGCAATCAAATTTGCACTGCCTGAGGGTAACTACGGCAATCGCGTCATGCTGACAACACGAAATGCCGATGTAGCCTCTGCCTCTTGCATAGAATCTCAGGATTATGTCTACAAAAAGGAGCCACTATCAATTGAAGATTCGTGGACCCTATTTTGTAGCAAGATCTTTAAAGGAAATCGTTGCCCCGCCCACCTGATGGATGTTGCAAAAGCTGTATTGGATAAATGTGACGGTTTGCCTTTGGCGATTGTTGCGATCGGTGGGCTCTTGGCTTCGAAGGACGTGAGCAGAATAGATGAATGGGAGATGATTCAACACAGTCTTGGGGGTGAATTAGAAGGCACCGGTAAATTAGAGAGAGTTAAAAGAATACTTTCTCTGAGTTACAACGATCTGCCTTCGCATCTCAAACCCTGTCTGTTGTATTTAAGCATTTATCCGGAGGATTATCTAATAGATAGCAGAACACTGAATCAATTATGGATTTCTGAAAGATTTGTAGAATGGAGAGAAGGAATGAGTATTGAAGATGTAGCCTGGGGTTATTTCAGTGAACTCATTAGCAGAAGCCTAATTCAAGTAGCTGAAGTGTTTTATGAAGGATTGCCCGACAAGTGTCAAATCCATGACCTATTGAGAGAAGTTATTCTCATCAAGTCAAGGGAACAAAACATGGTGACAGTTACTACTGGACAACCAATGACGTGGCCATCTGAGAAGGTACGCCGTCTAGTAGTCCATAGTAGTAGTAACAGCAGCAACATCCAATACCACCAACAAAGACAATTTTATTCCTTTGAACACCTTCGATCATTCATCGCAGTTAGTTTCACCAACCCATTACTGTCCAAAACTTTCCTATCTGAAGTTCTAAGGAGCAGTAAGTTGCTAAAGGTTTTGGATTTGAGAGGTGAAGAGATAGAGGAAACACCAAATGAGATTTTCAGCTTGTTGCATCTCACGTATCTGAGCCTATATGGTACAAAAGTGGCAAGAGTCTCGAGAGCAATTGGAAAGCTTCAACATTTGGAATATCTGAATTTGGGGAACACTGGAGTTAGGGAATTACCCGTGGAAATCCTAAAGCTGCTAAAGCTTCGGCATCTCAGAGTATCTCAACAAGTTGATCCCTCAGATAGTGATTTTGGATATCATGGGTTTAAAGGTCCGTCAAAATTGGGAGGGCTTCTCGCTCTACAAAGGTTAAACACCATAGATGCAAGTAGTGGGTCTGTAATAGTTAAAGAGATAGGAAAATTGACCCAATTAAGAGTGTTATATATTACACAGTTGAGAAGAGAAGATGGAAAGGAGCTCTGCTCCTCCCTTGTCAACCTCACCAGCCTTCAGCAATTAGGGATTGCTTCAGTTGGAAAAGGTTATGATTTTGAGATAATAGATCTAAATCATCATCAACATTCTCTTTCTTCTTCTTCTTCTTGTTCGTTTCTTCAATCTCTTCGTTTGCTACTAGTGCGTGGCCGCTTAGAAACGATGCCAGTATGGATCACTCATCTTCAAAACTTGGTAAAAATAAATTTGAGCTGGAGTAGGTTAAGGGCAGATGAGGATCCGCTTAAATCCCTCCAACATTTGCCCAATTTGGATGCAATTAATTTCTGTGGATGTTACCAAGGAGAAGGGTTATGTTTCAAGGCTGGAGGGTTCCTAAAGCTGAAATGGTTGTGGTTAAAGAAAATGGAAGGGTTGAGATGGATGGCAGTGGAGGAGGGTGCATGCCCTCATCTCCAAAGACTAATTCTTCATCGACTTCCATCACTAGAGGACTTACCTTCGGGAATTCAGCACTTGAGCCATCTTCAAGAGCTTTATTTGTATGAGATGAGTTCTCAACTGATGGAAAAGGTCGAGAATCAGGAGGAAGACACTGAAGATTACAGAAAAATAGCACACATACCTGAAATTGTCATTCGTTTCTATGCCGGTGATGGGAAATGGAGAAACTGCTGGCTATGGGGAAGGAAGAAGAAGAAAACAATCCTTGCCTAGCACTAGTAGCATCCTGTGGCTTTCCTTTCTCTTTGTTAATGTATTTTTTTAAACTGTTTTTCTTTAATTTTAACTTCAGGAAATGAAGCATTCTTACCTACCTCCCCAAATAAGCGCTTGTGAGATCATGAGCTCAATGATAACTAAGTACAGGAATCAATTTGCCCATAGGTCTACATAAAGATTGCAATGCATATAGCATTGTGCGAAATTTGAGAATGACAGTCTTCTTTTCACTCTTCAATTTTAGATAACAAAAGGGTCTGATCCCAATTTTGATTTATTTCTAAAAGTTTCTCTAGATTTGCCAATTTTTTAGGAGCATAAAAATAGGATAAATTTAATAAAATGGATTTGTTTGCCAACTATAAATATAGCAGATGTAGCTCACCAAAGAGTTGAAGGCCAAAATGCAAATCCATCCATCATACTACATGAATAACTTGCCACAAAATCATGGTGCTTATTCCTCAATCCAAAAATATGTAGCTTTCTAGATGCATTTTTCCAAACCAGATAGAGAAAAATAAAAGATGCATTAGATTTTCCTTGGTTTATTATACATGGAAATAACATTGAAAATCTAAGGGCAAATTTGACGTTACTCTCCCGTGGTTTAGTATTTTTTACATAATCCCCGTATAATTTTAAAACCTATACATAACTCCTTTATAATTTGGATTAAAGTATCAAAGTGACGAAAATGATCATTTCGTAACGGAGTCACCTAATATGTAAAGTAAAAAAGCTTCTGATCTGTTTCCGACGAGCTCGAACCTTGCCGCTCGGAGATTCTGCCGGCTCAAGGCTCCGACGCCCCTCAATTTCGCGTTGTCTTTTGACGGAAAAGTAGTTGGCGAAAAAGAAAGGGAGAATTTTCAGCTTAGCTTTTGAGGAAATGGTGAGGAGGAGTAAAATCCCAATCCTGAGTAGAGTTTCTTCAGTTCATATGGGTTTTTATCTATATTTAAAAAACAAAAAAGCTTGTATCTTTTTTTCTCTTTCATTTTTGAAGTTTCTCTGTAATTTAGCTCTGTTTGACGCTTTGATTAGAATATGATAAAGAGCTTTACTGCACTTGTTTTTCCTTTTTTTTGGTTGGATCCAAATTTGGTGACAGGTGCCGAACCTGTGCAATAATAATAAATAAATCCTAACTACCACCTGAAACAGTCAGTAATCAATTCGAGTACTGGAGCAGGGACTCTAGGTGTGCAATGGGTTACTTGATTCACCCTGTTCCCGAAGAGTTTGCTTAATCCGATATACCTGAATTAATTATTTAACTGAATTCCCTAACTAGTAGACAGTGGTAAGCAGGGTCGTCTCCTCAGGGACTGGAGAGAAATTTGTTTCTTTTCAAATCAGGATTAATGGGGGGTTTTGGTATCAAATGCCAACTAAAAAAAATTAAATGCAGAAAATTATTAATTAAAAGAAATAACTAAGAGAAACTCTAGCCAAGGGTGCACTTCATAAATGGTTCATGCACTGATCATTGATGCAAAAATTATCCCAACATTTATTAATAGCTTGGTTATAGTTGTCATGCACTCGATAAACAACCAACCCTTCC